TTTACACATCCATCAACTTGCTTAACCACTGCAAAGTCTAGCTACAGTATTTGAATTGTAATTGTTGTTCACAGTTCGCTTATCATCATGTTATTACTCAAATTACTGAATCTCATTTTGTCTCTGATAATTTTTTGCTTTATCATGAAATATAGCACCCCTCCTGGCCAGGGCTAGGGGGGGTGTGCACCCCCCCGCACCCCCCAGTAAATCCATCCCTGTAGTATAATCTAATTAATTAGCACCAACCAATCAAATGACAGATTAAAAAATCTTTCGTCTCATAGACCAATCAGATTAACAACCGAAATACGGTTGTAAGGCATGGACTTTTGTTTAAGGCACAGTTCAGCCTTTTGAACGATGGTTTTTAAGGCGCATCTCAGCTCTATTAATTGAAAAAACTAACTACACGTAGGAAAATCAATTAAGCATAATTCAAGATCACCAAACTCAATGTTTTTAACATTTTAAAACATTTTTATTGTTAAAAACATCGAGTTTACTGAATTTTTTGAATTATGCTTTTCAATTAAAATTGATTTTCCTAGTTAGTTTTTTCAATTAAAAGGGCTGAAATGCGGCTTAAAAACCATTGTTCAAAAGGCTGAACTGTGCCTTTAAGGTTTGTATCAGGCCTATTTATTTATTTATTTATAGGCCTGATCGCAAGTTAGGGTAAAATCTACTGTATGTACATCAAAACAAGACTAGATTAACACATACAAAATTGTGAAAATTTGTGAAACATTTATGCTATTAACAAAACAATTCTAACATTGGAATTGAAACAAAAATTGGGAATTTGGTTATGCTTGCAAAGAAGTTGCAAATGACTAAAGGAGCATGATTTACAAACTCACAGATTCCTGACTATATTATAGCAATTACCTTTATGTATGTAAAGGCACCAGCTGCTGACTGGTAGTGTGTGCAGGCAACCTTCATACCCTACATAGAAAAATAACATTCATTTTATATAAATTGACAAGAATTTCAATGTTTTGAAATTGGAGTTTTTTTGTATTCTTTAGGTACAGTACAGTAGTTGTATATTACATCATGTACAAAAGTTTGCAACTGTACTCTTAAATTTCTTTCAATTGCTACTTACATTGGCACCTACAATTATAAACCAAGGCCTTAGCGAGTAGTCTCAAATGTTTAATATTCAAAATAGTTTTAAATGCTCCATGAGACTCTTAAATATTAAAACTCATTGTGATGTCAGTGTGAAAAATGAGCATATAATATGTTGGCCCAGTACACACATAGTCTGTTGTTGCTTTTGGCTATTCTGGGTAATTTGCAGGTAACCATAAAACTCCCTGGACATTTAGATTTTAGACACCCTCCTAATCCTGGCAAAGATTTTGTTATATACACATAATTAACTTTGCAGCAACAATCTAAAATAAAAGAGTAGGATGAATCATGATTAGAGCACAATGCAACCAGTGGTGGAAATCTTGGTGGGGCAGGCGCCCCCCCCCCCCCCACCTTCGGGGAAAATTGACAAATTTTCGGAAATTTTGACCTAAAAGAGGGCTAAAAACAGTCTTTTCAAGTGCAAATGGGGGGGAATGTCGGAAATTTGGACGTTTTTTTCGGAAATTTAGGAGGTTTTGCCCCCCACCAGAAAAAGTGAATTTCTGCCACTGAATGCAACCCAGTGAGTGCAAGCACTATCACCGCACTTGATGATTAAAATTATGTAGTGTTAAAACAATAAAGTAGGGCGCATCAGGTTGCATTGTTAACTCCGGCTTCACATATGAATAATGGTTAACATGAGTGCAAATAATTATCAAAACTCAGACTACAAACCTCTTCTGACACCCTATCCTCTCTTGAACCCAACAATGAATGAAGGGCTCCTACATTAATAACAAAAACAACATGCATTAAAAGTGAAAAACTGTGCAGAAAAGAATAAAATGGAAAAAAACCCTGCAGTATACAGTATTTAAGTAACCCACCTAAATTAAATAAAATTGAAGATTGTTCATACGAAATATCAGGTATAGTGATGGGATCTTCTGTGTAAAGATCAGTCCTAAAAAAATAAGAATTATAAACTTTGGCTACATATAGTGTTTCACGAATTAATGCATGATGATAAAGTGCATTTAATCAAGCTAACAATGTCAGCTAAAGCTGGTTCCACAATTATAACAAATTATTACAAGTTTAATTAAAAAAATAGTAAGGATCGAATTGCTGCATTCAAACTGTATAAAATTCTATATACCATGAGTAACTAAAACTAAAAGCATCATTGCAGGCCAGCAATTTTTTGCCAACCTGAGACAACCCTATATGGTTCAGCAACCAGATACAATAGACATTTGCCAATTGCAGACCTGGATGGACCTATTACCTAAAGAACAAAATTTTGAACTAGACAAGTCTAAACAAAAATTTTATCACAGCTTGAAAGAGTTTCTCAAAATTAGTAATATTCCGAAGTTTCATTGCGAAATGTTGTAAAATGCGGATAAAATAGCTCTGCGAAGTTTGCCGTTTTTCAGTCATTTAATAGAGAGATTAAGGTGGCTCCCTACAGTTAATACAGTTTAAAATACGATTTATATAGATCAGACTTCATCCTTGCGACCTGCGTGTGGAATTGTTGTGTTCAATGTTCGGGCCGGTTCGGCAAAAATATTGAAACAAGCCGCGGGAAGTTTTTTGGCGTTTTTATCTACAAAGAAAGCTCCAGTTTTTCATTATAATCCCAATTTTTTCTGAATTCGAACAGTACGTATGTTATTAAATAACTAGTTTAACCTATCTTTTAGTGTGTTTTACATATTTACGTTCAGCATTGTCTTTCATAATGCTCAAAATTTTCAACTTGTTGTGTTGCGAACTGTCAAACTGAAATGATACTGTCTTCTATTAACCCTTGAACAGTAGTGAACTGTCGCCGAAACTTATGTAAGTCCTGTCAATCAATTCACAGGTATCGTTTTATCTGCTAAATCAAATAAAACAGTTATGAGTTGTTTTATATGAAAAGTTAAACTTGTAGTTCAATGTTTTGAAAAGTCTTCACACCGATTTTAACAACAAAAACAAATGTAAGAAACACTGGATTTAACACAATGTGTAATAGTGTTTTTATTATTAGTATTTTCAAGATTAATATTTTATTTTCATGTCAAACAAGTCAGAAATACTGTATCTGTTTTCGTATGTATTGTAAGCCAAAAACTTGAAATCACTATAAATCACACGCTACAATTTACACGCATGCGCAGATCATCATGCTCATGTCGAGTCGATTTTTTTTTCATGCTGGCCTCGCCGATTTTAGCGATGATTTTCTCATGTTTTCTTCGGTGAAATTTTTTTAAACTTTGTATTTTTGTTATACAAGACGAGTGGTACAACATATCCAAATTTTAAGAAATTCTACAAATAACTTTTTCTGTAACTGTCGTTCACATTCACGAATATCTCGAAAACTTATTTGTAAACCTCCCTTCAAATTTTGATATGTTTTTCCTTTATGGACCATAAATCTGCAAAAAAATTTCAGAAAAATTCACCGAAGGAAAATATAGATATTGTCAATTTATTGTGAAATTAGACAATAAAAGTACAAATGATTAAACGTCATGGTTGCCGTGGCAACATGAACACTGTTTTAATTTGTTCATAAATGGACAGCACACAGCTTCTGCACACAGCAATCATATTGCCCTGTCTTAAGTATATTTAATATAAATTCGGTTGAAAGAGAACGTTACTCAAAATACCTAGAATTTTAGAGAACTGTAGGGAGCCACCTTAAGCTTCGCGTTATATGGCAAACAGCAAATGCCAGGCAAAGAAAAATTTTACGGTATCAGGCAATAAAGAGTAAATAAACTTGCTGTTTTAAAACTGCAATGCATGACTATTCTTTCGACGCAAGAAAGAAAATATGAAACGAAAACGTTTAACGAAAATTTAGCGAAGAAAGTTCGAATCTGCCGTTTGCCGTTCCCGGAAACGCGAAGCTTAAACTCCCTAATACAAAATGACTGAAAAATGGCAAACTTCGCCGGGCTACATTACCCGCATTTTACAACATTTCACAACGAAAATTTGGAATATTACCAATTTTGTGATGCTCTTTCGAGCTGTGATGAAATTTTTGTCTAGATCAAAATGTTGTTCATTAGGTAATGGGTCCATTCCAATGCCTATACACATAAAAATGTTCACTAGATAAACTTGATATATTTATCATTAAATGTATGTACAACCAACCAAGTAAACTCAACACTGGCAGGTGATCCTTCACCCATAGCAAATCGTGTTTTGAGTAAATAAATCTGTCCATAATATCGCCGTAACAAATTGCATCCTGAATTGTCATAAGTTGGTTTAATCACAGCCTGTAG